CCAGGGACTGACCCTGGGCCCTCAACAGTGAAAGCGTGGAGTCCTAACCACTGAACTTCCCGTAGAACTCCCTGCAGCCAACTTTTTAATAAGCCAACAAGCATGGACACGATACCTGCCATGTACTCGTGACTGTGCCCGTTGTGAGGAGGATCACCAAGCATAAGCCCTTCTCAGAGGCAGGCACAGCTGAGGGCAGGCTTAGGGAAGCCTTGGAGTACTAATTCCTGCCAGAGACCAAGGTGCCAAGGAAATAGGAAAAGAGATCATACACCTATGTGCCCATCACCCTAGAACCTCAGAAACCCCATGGGGGGCCTCCAGTGGTTCCTCCCACTCCCCCCACCAGAAGTAACCACTTTCCTGACTTTTATGTGAGCCATTCTTTATAAATTTACTACTTGTATATGATGTGTAATCAATATATTGCTCAGGGGGCTTCCCTGGTGGTGCCGTGGTTAAGAATCTGCCTGCCAATGCAGGGGACAAGGGTTCGAGCCCTGGTCCGGGAAGATCCCACCTGCCGCGGGGCAACTAAGCCCGTGTGCCACAACTAGTGAGCCCACGTGCCACAACTACTGAGCCCGCGTGCCACAACTACGGAGCCCGCGTGCCACAACTACTGAAGCCCGTGCAACTAGAGTCCATGCTCCTCAACAAGAGAAGCCACCACCATGAGGAGCCCTTGCAGTGCAATGAAGAGTAGCCCCCGCTCGCCGCAGCTAGAGAAAGCCCGTGTGCAGCAACGAAGACCCAATGCAGCCAAAAAATAAATAACTTTATTTTTAAAATATATATATTGCTCAGTTTTGAGAAAATGGGTAGCAGGCACAAACCCAGCTGTGCAAAGAAAGGGCAATGTGGTCCCAATAGATGGAGGCACCAGGAGAAGGTCAGCTGAGGCAGAATGTCTGCATGAGAGGCTGGCCTCAGCTTCCCTGGGTGTCTACCAAGCAGGCGAGGCCACAAGGAGGCCTGGAAGCACAGGCAGTTGGGCAGCCAGCAAGGGGGTGGTTTCAGCTTCTTGAAAAGGGGTACAGGGAATTCCCTGGCAGTCCAGTGGTTAGGACTCCGTGCTTCTACTGCAGGGGGCCTGGGTTCGACCCCTGGCCTGGGAACTAAGATCCCACAAGCTCTGCAGCCAAAAAAAATGAAAAAATAAAAGGTATGAAACTAATACTCAACACAGTATATAGTAGGTGAAGTGCTCAAAGACTGGTAGAATTCAACAAAAAAAAAAAAGAAAGAAAAGGGATACATGGGAGGTTGTGTTTTCTTTTTAAACCTTGTATGGCTAAAACCCTCTTTATTCCTACTCTCTTGTTTGGTAATTTGCCTGAGCATAAAATTCTAGACTTGGAAACCATTTTCCTTCAGAAATTTGAAGGCATTGTTCTTTCATCTCTTTGCTTCTAATGCTGTGCTGAGAAGTCTGACACCATTCTTTCTGATCCTGTGTATGTGACCTGTTTCTGTCCAGAAACTTGTAGAATCCTCTGTTTGTCCTGAGGTTTCTGAAGATACCTTGGTGTGGGTTTATTTTCGTCCATGTGCTGGGCACTCAGCTTCAATCTGAAAACTCATGTCCTCCAGTTATGGGTACTTGTTTCATTATTTCTTTGATGAGATTTCCTCCTTTCCTTTTTCCCTGTTCTTTCTGGGACACCAAATTGTCATATGTTGGACCTACTTGGCTGACCCTTGTAATTTTTCTCTACTCTTTTCCAGCCCTTCGCATGTTCACTCTAACTTGGGGAGATTTCTTTGGTTTTATCGTTCAGTCTCTCTATGGAGTTTTTCATTTCTATTATCAAGTTTTTAATTTCCAAAAAATCCTTTTGGATTCTAATTTGTTTTTAATTGAATATAGTTGATTTACAATGTTGTGTTATTTCAGGTGCATAGCAAAGTGATTCAGTTATATATACACACATATACATATATATTCTTTTCCAGATTCTGTTCCACTACAGGTTATTACAAGATATTGAATATAGTGTCCTGTGTTATACAGTAGGTCCTTGCTGTTTATCTGTTTTAGTGTGTACCTGTTAATTCCAAACTCCTAATTTATCCCTCCCTCCCCAGGACTCTAATTTTTTAAAGGGTATGTTGTTCTAGTTTCATGGATAAAATGTCTTCTCGTAAATCTTTGAGGGTATTAATGAGAGTTCTTTCATGAAGCATTCTTCTCACTGCTTTGTAATGAATTCAGAATTAATTGAAATATGTAATAGTGGTTTAGTTAATTACATTAATCAATAGAATATGATATTACAATGATTACGTTTATAGAAAAGACTAATAACATAGGATTATCATGATACATCTTAGAGCAGAAACAGCAAGTTAGTACCACAGTATTATATATTATTTTCTCCATATTTTATATATTATGAAAAATTTTAGTCATACCAAAAAACTGAAAGAATTTTATGATGAACACTACCTCAATTCTAACATTAACATTTTACTATACTTGCTTTATTGCACATCTATCCATCTATCCAACCCTCTATCCATCCATCAATCCACCTTATTTTTTGATGCATTTTGAAGTAAATTACAGGCACCAGTATACTTTCCCCTAAATACTTTAGCATGAACATCATTAACAATATTTCAATATTTGCTTACAGTTTTTTGTTCATTTGAAATAAAATTTACATGTAATGAAATGCACGGACCTTAAGTGTAAAATTCTCAGTGTTTTGACAAACTCATAAATCTGTGTAAACTCAACCCCCCACCAAGGTATAGAACATTATCATTACCCCAGAAAGTTCCCTCATGCCCTTCTTAATCAATCTCTGTCCCTAGGGGGATTCACTGTTATGATTTTGTTCTACTATAGGTTAGTTTTACCTGTTATAGTATTTCAGGTTGGTTTTTTTAAATTAATTAATTTATTTTGGCTGTGCCGTGTCTTAGTCGTGGCACAGGGGATCTTCGTTGTCGCATGGAGGGATCTTTTAGCTGCAGCATGCAGACTCTTAGCTGTGGCATGCATGTGGGATCTAGTTCCCTCACCAGGGATCGAATCTGGGCCCTCTGTATTGGGAGTGCAGAGTCTTACCCACTGGACCACCAGGGAAGTCCCAGTATTTGTTTTAAAAAAAGAAGAGAAAAAGAAAATTTATGTTAACATGCATATTGTTTTACCATATGCCAGGCATTGTTCTAAAGTGCTTTAGAAATATTAACTCACTTGCTTATATCAATACTTTGAGCAAGGTAGTAGTATTTTCTCCATTTTACAGATAAAGAAAACTGAGATGTAAAGTGGCCAAATAGCTTAGCCAAGGCCTCACGACTGAAGAATGGGGGTAGGGCCGGCCCTACAGCCACACTGTTAGCGACACTTCGGCCTCTGTGTGAACATCCTTCAGACCTATGTCAACTTCAAAACGCTTACAGCAGTTATCTTGGGTGGTAGGGTTGTGGGTGATTTTTATTTTCTTCCTTTTGCTTACCTGTATTTTCTAAGATTTCTTCAATGAACATATATTACACCTCTTGCTTGTATACCTAAAACTCCAAAAGTTATTTTAAAATATTCCTGATATGGCCCAACACTACTCTTTTCTAAATCATGACACCCCTCTCACCCGATTTCTCTTCACACTCACAGCCAAACCCTTGAATATCGCCAAGCTGAAGTATGGTCACATTCTGCATCACAGACACAGTGTGTCTTCCCAAGGTTCACTTTTGTGTGATATTCATGTGATCGATCATTTCAACCAACAGACATGCAAACATCCAGTGTCACGTGAGAACCATGTCTGTTAGTTGACAGATGTCACCATGGGTGGGTGAGAGGCAGGAAGTGACTAATTCAGCGTGGTTTCTGAATGTTTGCTCTTCTTAAAATGAAGCATAGAGCAAGAGGGAGGAAGTATGGGGAGATATGGATATGTATAGCTGATTCACTTTGTTATAAAGCAGAAACTAACACACCATTGTAAAGCAATTATACTCCAATCAAGATGTTAAAAATAAATAAATAAATAAAGTCACAACTTCTACCTGAAATAAATAAAAATTAAAATGAAGCATAGAATTTCTCTAAAGTGTAACATGTTTGCTTAAGATGTGCTCTGCATTTTGAAATTAATACTTTAAAGTGTTAATATAGATAAAATTCATTTTTCTTTTTTAAAATTTTATTTTGAAGTAATTTCAAACTTAAATGTACCCTTTATTCACATTAACCAATTATTAATATTTTGCCACATTTGTTTTTACTATTTTCTATATGTTTCCTTCTGAAATAACTTAAAGTTGCATACATCATGCCCCTTTAATCCTTAATATACCAGTGTGGATTTCTTAAGAATAAGGACATTTTCTTACCTATCCATTTTCTCACCTAACAGTAATGCAATACTATCGCCATATTCTAATTTTGACAGTTATCTCAATAATGTCTTTTACAGCACTTTTTCAGCTTCCAATATCCAATGCAGAATTATACATTTCACTAATTGTCTTATTCTCTTTAGTTTTCTTAAATCTGGAGCTATTCCTCTCTCAGCATTTTTTTTTTTTTTTGGCTGCACCACGCAGCTTTCAGGATCTTAGTTCCCCAATCAGGGATGGAACCCGTGCCCCCTGCAGTGGAAGCTCAGAGTCCTAACCACTGGATAGCCAGGGAATTCCCTTTTTTGTCTTTCTTGACACTGTCATTTTGAAGGGTAAACACCACTTATTTTGTAAAATATATTTATATTTGATTTTATGTTTCCCCACAGTACGGGTTATACAAGTTATGCACTTTGGGCAAGAATATTATGTGGGCGATGTTGTGTCCTTTCTATGTCCCAGGAAGCACATCATGGTGATGTTAATTTTGATCTCTTGACAGATCTCTCTGCTGTGAAGCTACTATTTTTCCTTTTGTAATTAGTAATCAATTTGTGGGGAGATAGAATGTCTTTGACCAGTATTTACTTGATAAAAATGTTTATGCATTTTTTGAATGTTTGTTTTATTCAAAGGCTTAAATATTTAAGAAATGTATAAATGGCTGAAAATCTACGAAAGAACTCTAAAAAACTTTGGGAAAATGCTAATGAAACACGAGAAGAAAAAGTAAGTAGATCAGAATATGGAAAGAAAACTCTGTAATGATGAAGAACAGAACATTAGGAGAGAGAAGTATGGTAATTAGCAAACTGAGAGCAAGATGGGAGAGCAAACCGGAAATATGTGTGTATAGGTGAGATCCTTGCTGAGGACTTAGATCCTGTTCTCATACCTTTCATTGTATCTGATCCAAACATACTTTCCATGGTTATAAAATATGCTCAAATAAATATTTTTGAACGAATGAACAATTCATCATGATAGACTTTGGACAGAATCTGCTTACATCTTGAAATCTCCATTTAATCATTAGCATCTATTTGTTGTACTCCCAGCAGTACAAGTGCTACATCTGAGAGGAGAGAGCCTGTTGTTTTTCTGAAGAAATATATGAGAAGTAAATAATGTGCAATGATATGCCATTCAGATTGATTAAGCAGGAGTGGTGCATTTTATGCACAGGTAGCAGCTCTTCTATTAATAATTCTCCTCCTCCACAGGGCATTCCTGGATGACTGAAAACAAGGAAGCAATTTTCGACTTCCCCTTTACGTTCGGAAGCATCAACAACATACAAGTCTGTCCACACAGGCCTTGACTGCACAGCAAGCTTCGAAAAATGTTTGTCACCAGAGCAAGATAATTTTTGCAACTTGTGATAATAAGAAGCTGGTTTGACGAAAACCTTGCAGTTGTGAAAAAAAATGATTTTTCGAAATTTGTGGTTGATAAAAATGGTTTCTCACATAGTTGTTTACTGTATCCCCGTTATCTTGCCTTGGTTTCCATGATCTACCACCCATAGCCCCCAAACCAAATATTTTATTTAAGATCTAAATGTTTGTTTATTTGCTTATCTAATTCTTGGCCATAGACCCAATTTCTGCATCATCCTGGTCAGGATTCTGTGTGGATCCTAGGCTTGCTTCCTGTAAGTTATCTCTAACTTCCAAACAGCCTATAGAAGCAAAAAGGTACGATCCCTACCCTACCCAAACACTCTCCTATTTTTCATGGCTGGAACACTGTATCATTTATTCAAACCTGTGTCATTCATTTATTCCATTCGTTCATTCAAAAACAGCTGTTGAACAACCAGAACTGAACTAGGTCTAATTTTAGTCTTTGCCCTTGAGGTTCTCAGAATTTCATTAGAGATACCAACAGATAACCAACTCAGGACGGTGCAGATTTCTGTGGTAAGTGCCGTATTTTGTAATGTGAACACAGATGAGATATCAACACCCAGGAGGTGCGGGTGACTAATCCGTGAGCAAGGCCCTCTAAAATATATGGGGTTATTTAATCTGCACACTGACCTTAAAAGGAAAGGACTTTTATCGTCGTGTTTATCAGATGAGGAAGCTGAGGCTTTGGGAGGTTCAGAACTTTCCAGGCCCCAGATAGCAGGCAGCGAGACATGGCTCAGAGACCCGGTCCCTGTGCTCTTTATCCTGCCAACCTGGAAGGATGGATCATGCAAAGGAGGAGTTTTCTTTGCCCCCTCGGGGACTGGCAAGGGGACTCGCTGAGCTCCCAGCAATGTCCGGCCCCCGGGCGAGAGCTGGCGTCTGGATAGGGGGACCAGGTCCACGCGAGGGCTCTCAGTCCTTCCACCTCATCTTTCCTTGGTTCTGCCCGCAGGCCTTCTGTTGACCTGGGTTTGCAACCTGAGACTCCTCATTTCCAGATCCGGACTACAAGGGTCTTCCTTTGGGGGCGCAGGTCCCTCGGAGGAGGGACCCGCCCCTGCTGTAGCGGCTGCCCAGAAGAAAGCACGCCTTTTTTATCCTGAAATGAAATTTGTCGTTAGTTAAAACGCTTGTCCGGGCTTCCCTGCTGGCGCAGTGGTTAAGAATCCACCTGCCAATGCAGGGGACAAGGGTTCAAACCCTGGTCTGGGAAGATCGCACATGCCGCGGAGCAACTAAGCCCGTGCGCCACAACTACTGAGCCTGCACTCTAGAGCACGCAAGCCATAACTACTGAGCCCACGTGCCACAACTACTGAAGCCCGTGCTCTGCAACAAGGGAAGCCACCGCAATGAGAAGCCCGCGCACCGCAACGGAGAGTAGCCCCCGCTCGCCACAATTAGAGAAAGCCTGTGCGCACAGCACCACCCAATGCAGCCAAAAATAAATAAATAATTTTAAAAAACAACCGCTCCTCACGGACAGTATTTAAACGAAGTGCTAACTGCAACACAATGAGAACTAGAAGGAAAGTAATTTACAACACCATAGTGAGAACTTCGACATGTCGCAGCCGAGGAAGATCGCCCGGAAGGCGCAGGGGAGAGCCGAGCTGCAGGGGTCGGGGTGGGAGCTGGCATTCCCGGGAAAGTCCGCGAAGGTTCCCCCGCAGAAGTACTCTGCTCGTTAGTGCAGCGCAGGGAAGTGATGGCTCAGACCCTCATTCACAGGCTCTCCACTTTCGGGAGGGTCGCGAGCTCCTCGCAACCATGCGCCCCATCACTGTGAGCCCCCAATCTCGCCCGCGGTGACCGATGTGTCCCGGAGGAGCGGACCCGGCTGAGAGCACGGAGATGCGGGGGCTTGGGCGTAGGAGGGTGCAGGCGCGGCTCCGGGTACAGTTGCCTCTGAGGGGCGAAGGGAGGGCGCTCGTGGAGCCCCCAGAACTGACCGGGAGGAGGAAGCCCCTTTCCCGGGTCTCCGGAACCGGGAGAACGCCGCTCAGGCACAAATCAGGTCCTGGGTTACACATGCCAGCTTGGGCGCACCTGTTTCTTTAGAAAACGCATTTTGAGCTCCATTCGAGCAAGACACACCAGAGCCCATTCATTCATGATTTGGGCATTGTCTGAATGTTATCTTTATATTGTGAAAATAGTACCTGCTCATTGTTAAACAGTTCAAAAGCATAGAAAGAGGTAAAAGTCACCCGTAATCAATCCCTACACCCTTAGAAGATCACTGTAAATATTTTGGAATTCACCCTTTGAAACTTTTTTCCTAAGCATATTTCCTAGGTAGTATATACACACAACACGTAACACAGTGGTATTGAACCATAGCATGCTTTTCTAACCGGCTTTCCCCCACACACACGCTTAATATATTATGGTCTATTTTCCATGTTGGTGTAGATTTACACATTCTATTTTTTATATATACAGTATATTTGTATGTTTTTATAGGTGTGTGATGACCAAAACATGAGTGTAAGATTTATGTAGTGATATTATTTTTGGTAAACGTACTGGAAATACGTGGGTGCCCCACAAGACTCTTTTACGAAAACTTTATGGTTTGTGTATCATTTTAAAATATCTTCACAGACCTATGGCTCAGCTTATCCCAATGATCATAATTATCTTTTCACGAATAATCTGCCATCCACTCTAGCAGTGGGAGTCTTCTCCATGTGGCCTCTTTCCACCTTCTATAACATCACCCGAGACAGGCTAATAATGGCTCCCTCTCCTTTTTTTTTTTAAATTAATTTATTTAATTTATTTATTTTTGGATCGGTTGGGTCTTCGTTGCTGTGCGCGGGCTTTCTCTAGTTGCGGCAAGCAGGGGCTACTCTTCCTCGCAGTGCGCAGGCTTCTCATTTCGGTGGCTTCCCTTGTTGCGGAGCATGGGCTCTAGGCTCATGGGCTTTGGTAGTTGCAGCACACGGGCTCAGTAGTTGTGGCACATGGGCTTAGTTGCTCCGCAGCATGTGGGATCTTCCCGGACCAGGGATCAAACCCATGTTCCCTGCATTGGCAGGCAGATTCTTAACCACTGCACCACCAGGGAAGTCCCTCAACTCTGAAATATTTTTGCCTCTAGTTGTCCCATGCAGACTATTCATAAAATCTACTTCTTCAGTAACTACAAACTCTGCTTTGGTTTCTTGAATAAACAGCAAAAACTGAACAGTATTGGTAACATCTGTAGATTCATCAAGCCTAGGAAAACCACTCAAAACTGTTTGCCATGTTTTTTAATTGATGACTGATGTTTCTCCCAATGTTCTCAAGTCTTTGAGCAACCGTTCTCCCCAAAAGGCTAATAGTCTTCAACAAATTTTAGGTTTTGCAGACCAGGAGGCAGAATCAAGTAATTATGTAGGTACTTACTTTCCACGTATTTATTTTTTTGTGATGAAAATAAATTTATTAAATTTATTTTTGGGGAAAACTACCATATTTGTTAAATTAGTGACCACTGCTATAGTTCACTCATGTGTCATTTGTGTACAATCACCAATTAGTGTGAATGACAGGGTGTCCGAATGACTTGGTTTCCTATTAATCCACTCACTAAGCCAACTTCATGTTGAAGAAGAAAAATCACCAGAAAACAGACCAAGAAATGTCCACTGCTAGAGGGCTTTTTGTTTATTTAAGTGTAATCTTTCAACGGATTAGTAGTTCTCTAGCTTGGAGTCTCTAATTTGATATAGCAACCAACTTAATTTCTGTGCAGACCATGAATTAGCAAATGTCTTCTAACCCGACAATCACTTTAAAAGCAAACCCTTAGTTGATCATGAAAACACACCTTTAAACACATGGCTCTAAACACCATTGTTTTGCCCACTCTGAAATGTATTTTTTTCATCCTGACACTGTCATGTCATAACTTTTAAAATGATAATTTCATTATTATTGCTCAATTACACTGATGCTTAGTAGGAGTAGCCTGTGGTCTATTCTTCATCATGCAAGTTTATAAAAAAGTAAGTTTGGAACTTCAATCATGGTTAGCCAGAAGACGGTCTTTCTTTCCCCCTCCACAATTAAATACATCAGTATTTTTGGAAGTACTGTCCAAATTGTTTGACGTCCCCTCTGCATTAACCCTGGATAAGGAAGCGTGAAACTTGATTGTCTTTCAGCAGAAGGACTTTAATTGGTAATTATGGAGAGATCATTACTTCCTTTTCTCCTTGGATAGCTGACACAGGACAGGAAGGAAGGTTGGGGTTCTTTCTGAGACTCTAAAGATTCTTTTCAAAAAGCCCATTCCGTTGGCATTTCTTAGCGAATAAGCTCATCCGGTCTCCACACTTTGTAAAGTTCTCTTTTACACACCCATCTTATCACCTGAGTCATCCGGCAGATTTAGGATTCTTATTCCCAAGTGGCTAGTAAGGCCTCAGGCCAGCTCTTTGGGTGCTGTCTGTTTTTTCATGAGAGTCACTTTGATAGGAGAAAGGGATTGGGGAAAGACACCTGAGTCTGGTGAGGTACATTAAGGATGATGACCACACACCTCACCTGCTGTACTGAGACAGAGGGGACCTGGGATCCTTTGCTGCAGTGCTTGCACCTGCAAACATTTCCTCTGCAACAGAATACAAAGAAACTATAAGGAACTAAGAATAACTACATGCATGTGGCACTTGAGGCAAATTATAAGCAAGATACAAAAAGACCAAAAATCCAACTGCCACTTCTGAGGTGTCCCAGCAAAAGCAGGGTCCCGGGCAAGATTCCTGCAAAAGGCACCACCAAGGGGGTGGGCAGACCACCCAAGCCCCCTCCTCTCAAACCTGCCCCTACCCTCACCCCATTTAAAAAACCAGCTCCCCCCACGCCCTCAGGGAATGAGCAAGGGAAACTGTTGCTTGTTTTCTCTCTCTCCTGCTGCAGCAGGAGTCCCAATAAAGCTTTCCTGAATTTCTCATCCGGCCTTTTACAAATTTCTATTGATTAAAGAGTCCAAGGACCCCGGTTGGGAACTACCATTTTGCGCAGGGCCAGCCTGAAGTGGGAATGACGGTCCCCCATGCTTTCTTGGTTATGCAACCATCATCCTCACTGTAAGTGTATTCTAAAATCCCATTAAGTGTATATTCTCCATTGAACCCAGCTGAGTGAAGCTGACAGCCGGCCCTGCAGTGCCCCCTTGCGCGACTCTAGGGAGGCTGATCGCCTGCGGCGTGAGCGCCCCTCAGCAGCGCGTCTGTGGCCACAGCCCCTCCGCAGGGCCTTGGGAGGCAAAGCGGCGGACACACTGCGCGCGCTGACGAGAAGGGTCACCCGGCCCCAGGGTTGGACTCCTGCTGCGCGCTCGCTGCGCGGCGGGGATTTGGGTGGGCGGGGCTGGGCGGGGCTGGGCGGAGCCTGGACCGCGGGAGCGCGTTATCCGGCTGGCGCCCTCGGAGCGGCGCGCGGCACCGTGGGGTCTCGGGGCCCGCCGCTCACAGACAATCGGACCCTTGGATAAACATGGTGTGCTCCCCGGGAGAGGGGAGCGGGGCCACGTCCGCGGGCGGACCCGGCGAGGAACCCGGAGCCCCCACCGTGCGGGGGAGAAGGTGGGGACGGTCAGGCCGCGCGGGCTCTTTAAGACCGTGCTCGTGCTAAAGCCTACCGTGAGTAACCTGGTCCCAGGTCCCGGGAGAAACGAGTTGGCTTGGTCTAAATAGGTGGATGAGAGCTCAGATCTCTAGGCGTGGAATTTGGGGAAGTTATGAATGGGGGTGGTGGGGAGGCACATGGCTTTGAGCCAAGCCCCCAGGTACGTTGTAAATTTTTTTTTTTTTTTTGCGGTACGCAAGCATGTGGGATCTTCCTGGACCGGGGCACGAACCCGTGTCCCCTGCATCGGCAGGCGGACGCTCAGTCACTGCGCCACCAGGGAAGCCCCGTTGTAAATTTTAACAGGGCTCCTGGAGAGGGCGGTGAGACTAAGCAAGGACGAGTTCCAAAGGGAGGAGAGCCCCCCACCTGGCTTCAGCGTCCACGCGGCTGGTCCTTCATGATCTCGGTAAGCCCAGTAGCTTGTGAACAGGTGGGGTGAGTGCAGGAAGCATCAGGCCTTTGTGGTGGATGGGTAGGCAGAGGAACCCACTCCTGCGGGCTCGCAGGAGGCCTTGGGCATCCGGTTCTTCACGAAGTTTCCTGGGCCAAGAGGTGGAGCTGTGCCTGCCTTTGGGTCTGGCCCACCAATGGGGTATCCGGCAGCCCCGGTAGGACCTCAGAGAGCACAGCAGCAGGCGTGGAGAAGTGGTGGTGGCACTGTGCCTCCTTGGCAGTCCCCCCCCGGGGGGTTGGCCCACTGGGCGCGGGAGTGGAGGAGCTGCTGGGCGGTCTGATGACACAGGCTGAGCTGAATGAGGATTGTGGAGTCACAGAGGAAGTAGGATGCTACAGCATTCCACTTGGCGTGGGGCTGACGGCCTGGCAAGAAGAAAGGTGTTGCCCAGGCAGACCAGTGCTTTCTGCCCATGGAAGGGAGCCTCTGGGATAAGCAGGGCACATCTGGTGCCCATGGTGGACTGATGAGTTGGGTGAAGCCACCCTGGAACAGGGTCCCCCTCCCCATCCTAGGAATGAAGAGAGTCCCATGTCCATATTCTGGAAACCTAAATACCACCCACACCATGTGGAAGGAAAGCAGTAGAGAGGCTGGGTGGTACATCCTGCTGCCCCCCTTTTTCCCCAAATCCTCCCAGGCAGGCCGCCCTTGCTCTGTCCAACCCCAGCTCTGTGAGCTTTCTGTTCCTCCTGAGTAGCTGACTTCCAGGATTTGGGGTTCCAGTGCTATGGGGAATACACGCTGGAGAGCAGATGAGACCCGAAGATCACCACTAACTCCCATCCTCCTACTTCTCTAGATGCAGAGGCCTCCAATGGCTGTGATAAGCCTTCTGTTCTTGGCAGTGATGTACGTTGTGCACCACCCTTTGATGGTCAGTGACCGGATGGACCTGGACACACTAGCCAGAAGTCGGCAGCTGGAGAAGCGGATGAGTGAGGAGATGCGCCAGTTAGAACTAGAGTTTGAAGAGAGGAAGCGAGCAGCTGAGGAGCAGCAGAAGGCAGAGAACTTCTGGAGAGGAGACACATCCAGTGACCAGTTAGTGCCGGGGAAGAAAGACAGGGGGCGGCCGTTCCAGGCGGATGGCCACGAGGGGCCGCTGGGCTGGATGCTGGGAAACCTGTGGAACGCTGGCCTCTTTTGCTTTTTTCTCATCTTTGAGCTCCTGCGACAGAACATGCAGCACGAGCCGGCCTTTGATTCCAGCAGCGATGATGAGACGGAGGAGGTCCGTGTCGTGCCTGTCACCTCCTACAACTGGTTTACCGACTTCCCCCCGAGCGAGGTCCTGGAATCCTTTTACAAACACCACATCCAGAACGTCACCCGGGACCTGCCCTGCACCTGCGAGTTCGTGGAGAGCTTTGTGGACGACCTCATCAAGGCCTGTCAGGTGCTCAGCCGCCGGGAGGCTCACCCACAGTTGGAGGACTGCCTGGGCATCGGGGCTGCCTTCGAGAAATGGGGAACCCTCCACGAGACCCAGAAATTAGACATCCTGGTGCCCATTGTTCCCCCCCAGGGCACTATGTTTGCGCTGGAGATGAGGGATCTGGCCCTAGGCTGCCGCTGTGGCCGCGTGCGGGTCGAGTCGGAATGCGTGTGCAAGCGCGAGAAGCTTCTGGGGGAGGTGTTGTGCCTGGTGCACCACCACAGGGACCACTCAGCCCTCCTGGGCAAGTGTAACAGCTCCATCAAGGCGGCTCTCTGCACCGGCTCCTACCTGGATGTGTGTAAGACCGTGCAGTGGTTCCGGAACATGGTGGGCAACGCCTGGGCCCTCGTGGCCCACAAGTATGACTTCAAGCTCAGCCTGCCGCCGTCCACCACCTCCTGCAAGCTCAGGCTGGACTACCGCTCAGGCCGCTTTCTCTCAATCCGCCTGGTCCTGGGTGTGCAACAGGAAGACACCTTGGTCTACCTGGTGAGTCAGGCCCCTGACCAGGAACAGCTCACCAGCGTGGACTGGCCCGAGTCCTTTGCAGCCTGTGAGCACTTGTTCCTAAAGCTGGTCGGGCGTTTTGCTCCCGAGAACACCTGTCACCTCAAGTGCCTCCAGATCATTTTGAGTCTCCGGGACCTTCAGAGTTTACCCCAGGGAGCATCCCACCCCATCCTCACCTCTTACCACTTCAAAACAGCCCTCATGCACCTGTTGCTGCAGCTGCCCCTAACAGACTGGGGGCATGGCATGCTCTCCCAGCGGCTCCAGGACATCCTCTGGTTCTTGGGCCAAGGCCTCCAGAGAAGGTCCCTCCATCATTTCCTCATTGGTAACACCTTCCTGCCCCTGACCATCCCGATCCCTAAGACATTTCGTAATGCTGAGCCCGTCAATATCTTCCAACACCTGGTGCTAAACCCCATGGCACATTCACAGGCAGTGGAAGAGTTCCACAACCTTCTGACCCAGGTGAAAGCTCTGCCCTGTGCCTCGCTGGCTGGGGCACATTAATGTACAGGCCATTAAAAAGCGGGAGAAGGTATTTCTGATTCTCAGGCTGCAAAAGACTTTATTTTTCAGACACATCAGCAGTATACGTGATCTTCACCTTGCCAGTGGGGACTATGATAGACTAAGACACTTAGGAGTACGTGAAGTGGTCGTGAGGAGGGGTCCAGTCTGCAGGGCCTAATCAAGGCTGGGTCTTTGAAGTTTTCTTCTCCTGAGTTAACTTTCATCATGACCCCAAGAGGGCCCAGGGTAACAGATGTTATGGGAGGATCTTGCTGCTAAAGAGTTGAGATCCAGAAGAGGCCTGTGAAGTTGGGTTTTGTAGCAACACTGGAAGTCAGAGAACCAGAGAATACTTCCATTCCAGCTTATTCCTTCTTTTGTGAACGACTCCGAGCACATCCCTTGTAAACTGGTTTCCTTATTGAACTCAGCCCAACTCATATCCAAGCTGATAGCACTCCATTTTATCCCAAATACTGTGATGGTAGCTTCTCGTATTTTAGGATAGAATTTTTCAGACCTCCACTATTTGAAGATATAACCAAGATGTTTATTTGCCATTTTCTTAATTTAGCCCTATTTTCATATGATATGTGCAATATAATATAGCTGTTTTATGCATCTGAAAAGAACTCCAATACTACCCAAATAACTTGACTCACAGACAAATATTAAGTCAACAGTGGCCTGTCCCATAGTTGAAATAATGTATTTACTAAAATTAATTACATCGTCAACATCTGATGACCTCCTCAGTGCCTGGAAACATTATAAAACCCTTAAGGAGGACAGTCTTTTGGGGGGCTCTGAGATGAACAATTACGGTTTCTGAGGGGAGCCACTTATTTGTTAAATGGAAAGAAGGTTTAGCTACCACGTGCAGCTGTGCTTTTTCTCAGTCTGGTAATGCCTTTGTATTCTCTTTTCAAAGAAGACAAAGGGATTATTTGAACTGCGTGTGTGGGTTTGCAAAGCGGGGTCATCACAATCCAGGCCCACTGCCAGGGCTGGACAGGAAGGGACTGTGAATCAGTTCAGCTCTAACAAAGTCATAATTCTGGCGATATGATTGGTATATTTCCCCCTCTTTCAAAACCCTGGGCAACCTGGGGAGGAGTGTTAAGAAATGTGACTCTAGTTGTGGGTGTGGTTGTTTTGGAAATACCAGTGCTGTTCCTACCCAGCACTGCCAGGAAGATCTTCGGGGGAGGAGAACCTTGCCCCACATTTAATGTGACCTCATGGAGGGTTTAGGTGCTGGCCTCGTAGGCTTTGGTTATAGAATCCACACCCTCCCCGCAGCAAAAATCAATTACAAGTGTCCCAGAAGCTGATGCCAGCCAATATTTGGGGCTCCCACTGCTGCACGAGAGCTGCTGTGTTCTCGCGTTGTCTGCTGCTATCTGCCAGGTACAGCTTTCAAGTGCAGATGTGATGATGGTTGGTTCTATGCTGGTGGGATTTTGGTGTTTTAAAAACATCCACATGTTTTTTGGGATTTCCCTGGTGGTGCAGTGGTTGAGAATCTGTCTGCCAATGCAGGGGACACGGGTTCGAGCCCTGGTCTGGGAAGATCCCACATGCCGCGGAGCAACTAAGCCCGTGTGCCACAACTACTGAGCCTGCGCTCTAGAGCCCGTGAGCCACAACTACTGAGCCCGCGTGCCCCAACTACTGAAGCCCGCGCGCCTACAGCCTGTGCTCCGCAACAAGAGAAGCCACCGCAGTGAGAAGCCCGCGCACCGCAACGAAGAGTAGCTCCCCTCACCGCAACTAGACAAAGCCCACGTGCAGCAACAAAGACCCAACGCAGACAAAAATAAATTAATTAATTTAAAAATACATACGCTTTTTGTTTAGAAAATAACTTGCTGGTGTTTTACTTCCAAATCAATAAAGAAGATTATTTTCTGTATCGGTTGGAACCTGCAATACCAGCAGATCAGCGTTCTCACATGCCTGTTCCCAAGAAGTTCACGTTACCCTGATCGCTTCATCCAATACATCCTGGTGTTTCTCAATGTACTTTGAACCAGTCTGCCCTGTGGTTTCCCAGTGGCATGGCCGGTAACCAGGAAAGAGTAATTCAGAATCTTAAGGAACACCTAAGTTATTCGTTTTCATGGTGTCCAAACCAAAATATCAGCCAAATTAAAAGGTCTTAATGTCTACAAACAACATATATAAACTCCAGAGGGCACAGGCCTGTCAGGTAGAAAGAAGGTGGTATGATCTAGGACTGGGTGGTTTCTAGTCTAGTACAAGACAAGGAAGAAAATGTAAAGTTATGAGTGGGCGGAAGAATACAAAGGGAACAGTCAGCAAAGCTTGGGTGGGGCAGAGAGTATAAGAAAGAGTATAGAGAAAACAAGTATTAATGGGAAGAACAGAGCTGTTGTGCTCTGGGAATACTCTTACAATGAAAGGGGAAGCTTCCAGATACTCAGGAAGCTCGATTTTATTGTAAACAATACCTGGCTGGCACCCAGGATATAACAGCGATTACAGTAATGGGAATACTTAGCATTCATCGAGCATTGCCAATGGTCCAGGCACTGTTCTGCACATCTGGTAACTCATTTAATCTTCACACTATAACCCCACGAAGTGGGTGCTTTAACCCCTCCATTTTGCCTACGAGGAAACAGGCTCAGAAGGAGTATACATAGCTCATAAGTGGCAGAGCCTGGAAGAAAGTACCCGTCCTAGCAACCTTCCAGCACGATCTTGGGAATAAGATGTAGGGGTTACAGTGTTTTGAAAAGCAAAAAGCATTATATTAATTTTAAGATAAACTATATTAATTTTAACATAAAGGGTGGTATGTTATTGTCTGGGAATTCTGGAAGATAGAAATTGTTGGTTCGTAGTCCAGTCCTTAGGAGGTCAGGAATTTTATATCACATACAAAAATTAAAGGCATTTGCTCAGAGGCCAAAACAAATGCAAAGCCATTTCAACTACATGCCCTGTTGAACCCCAGTGACTTGGTGGTTTATATCATGAACTACATTGATATAAGCCAGTTGCAGGCTGGAAGGTCAGGGCAAATTTCAGCCGAAAGACTGTTCAGGCAGCCAGCTGATAGCACTATTATTCCTCACCTAAACTAAGGCTGTTTGGCATCCATTTTGGGGAATTAGAATCTGGGTGAGGAGTGAAAAATAGGGAAGGGGAATGGCTCCAGCACTTTTCTGGCAGATGAGGGGTGGAGGAGGGACCCCACTACTTTTGTGGACAGAAGAGTTGAGCTTTGCAGGCCACTGATACCAGTGTTGAACGGATCTCGTGGCACCCGCCTAGTAGTCCTAATCCCCGCAGACAAAGAAGACATTCAGAATGGGAGGTGAAAGACCTGCCTGCACCAGGCGGGCCTGGCCTACAGAAATGCAGGGGGTGCAGTTGGCACTGCACACGGAGTCCCAGACACTCAGCTCAGGAGGCTCCACTACAACCACCGGACAGCTTCACACCTCAGCCAATGGCTGATGGGTCTCCTAGGAGCCTTCCTCTGCGAAGAGTTCCAAGCCAGTTCAAAGCCCAGTGCGGGCGGCGGGGGGGGGGGGGGGGGGGTATTATCATCACTGTTTTATAAATAGGGAAGAAAATGGGGCCCAGAGAGGTTAAGACGCCCAATCCAGGATTAAGCTTTTCTTCGAACTTTGCTCATTCAGTACATATTTAAGCACTTGCTGTATCCTGGGCTAGCATCAGGCCCTGGGAAAACAATGGTGAGCAAAGACACGCTTTGTCTTCATGGGGCTGACAGTCTATGCAGGAGACAGATATGAAATAGTCACCCCAGCAGATGTAAAAGGTTACCTATATGGGAAGAGAATCTAAAAAAAGTGGATATATGTATAACTGATTCACTTTGCTGTACACCTGAAACTCACACAACATTGTAAATCAACTATACTCCAGTGAAAATTAACAAAAAAAACAAGGGTGACAAGTTCCACTAAAGCCTCCAGTAAGGACACTTGAGCCTATCAGGGAAGGCCTCCCTGAGGAAGTGATATGAGCTGAAATCTGACAGGAGTTAACTCGGTGAAGATGAGGATGGAGAGGATCCTACGTAGAAGACGTGGCACATGCAGAGGCCCCGTGGTGAGAGCTGGCACCGTGAGGGCTAGTCTGAAAGGAGGCCCAGTGACTGGAGGGCAAGGAGAAAATGGAGGCAAGGCGCAAAGTGAGGCTGGAAAGGCTGTGGGGACCAGGCCCAGGAGGGCCTTGTAGATCATTTTAGAATCTCCGTGAGCAATGGCACCTTTGAAGCATTTTGGACTTTGGGAGGAAGCGACAGGTCGGTTTTGTACTTAGCAACCACCACCCTGGGCCCAAGGAGAAGCGGGTCAGAGCAGGTTTGGGGCTGCTGCAGACCAGCGAGAAGGAACTATGGATGAAAAGAGATGCGGGATAGAAGAGATTTTTAGGAAGTAAAAAGAGCTCAGCAATGGATTGTGTGTGAAGAGTGAGGGAGAGGGAGGCGTCCAGGATGACCCCTGGGTGCTGATTTGGGTTCCTGGGTAAACTTGTTTCCTTTCTTCTATCCCACACTGCCTTACACTAAAGATTTGAAGGTGGTCACTGGGAGAACAACTTCGTGCAAAAAATAAATAGGCTTAAAAAGTCGTTTTCAACAAGGTGGTACTTCTTTGGTTGCCAAAACAATTGAGGGGCACCGTTGGCATTTAGCGAGAAAATCGTGTCAGGGACGCTGAGCAGGAGTCCCACAGGCCAAGCGTTGTTTCACCCTGAATGCCAACAGCACCTTGGAGAAGAAGCACTGTATAAAATGCCATACGTGTGTTAAGACATTATAGGATGTTCGAGGGATATTTGGGGGAACCGCCCTGGCCTTTTCTCCTGTAATACAGTTCTTGGGATGAGATGAAGCAGAATGAACAGATGGGTGGCACATTATACTCGTCTCACTTCCGACCTTAACCTCATTTTTTTTGAAAGGGAGGAAGATATCCAGGAATCTTTTCACAAGAATCAATAAAAACGAT